AAACGCAAAATTTTCTATTTTAGATACTTATTTTTTCAAAACACACTATAACAGATTTTTTATATTTTTAACTACTCTTTTAAATATTATTTTTCATTTTTTTTGTATTATTTTTTTTGGAAATAGTGAAAGGGAGAAATAGATAGAAAATATTATAAAGAAAAAGTTTACATATCGCTACAGTGATATTTTAAATATAGAGTATCATTGTAGTAAAATATTATTTTAGATGTTTTGAAGATAATTTGTTAGAATGAAATTTTTGGGTTAAATAACTAAAATTTAAATATTTTATATATTTTAGATCATCCGTCGGAAATGCTCTAGTTTATGATACATGAGTGTATGCATTGGCAAATCTAAGCAAACTAAACGAGATCCCAAAAACAAATAGAAGGCCCAAGCCCAAAAGAATCATTGGAAAACGTCCACAATCTTAGCTATCTGGATTATTCCTGCAGCCCAAAACTAGGCAAGACAAACTCAATTTTGCATCTATAGTCTTCTCTGCAGTGCGGATCTAACCCAATGATCTTGATGGGCCATATTTGTATTCATAAGCCGGGTCAGTAAGCCCAAATAGCCCAATAGCAGATCAGAAGCCCAATTTTCGATCCGTATTAAGAAGCCCAGTTAACAAGCCCATAATAGCCCAGTAGCAGAACAACAAGCATCATCGCAACCGAGATTGGCGGCTGAAAGTACCAAGTGTTTCCCGCCAAAAACTAACTTATCCAACAATCTCTGTTCTCTCCCTGTCCCTCTCTCTCTCTCTCTCTCACATGGATGTCTGGGCGGCCCCATCTCTCCTTCTGTATAGTTCAAAATACGAACGGAGCAATGCCACGTATCCGAATATTATGGTGAGTGTTGAAAATTGTGTTGTGCCATCTTCTGCTCTGCAATGTTATGTGGATCCAAATGGAGCACTTAACATGCAACCAAACTCACCACATTCTGACTTAAAAATGTGGCATCAATCTTAGATATGAATGGAAGATGAGAGACATGAGAGTTTGTCGAGTCATACAAACTATGGGCCTCTTTTATTTGTGTTTCAAAAATAGTAATCGAAAATAATTTTTTAGAAGAGTTTTAATAAAGTGGTTTTGATATTTTTTGAGATAAAAAATTTGTTTAGTTATATGATTTCAAAAACAATTTTACAATATAGAAAATAATAAAACTTGTTTGGATAGTCTAAATATATATTTGAACAATAATTTAAACATTAATAAAAAAATATATTTTTTTTATATGGACAATTTCATAATATATAAATATAAATATATATATATAAATCTATATTTGAAGATTCAAAGTAGTTCTCCTTATTTTCAAATTTTTCAAAGAAAACTCTGAAAACAAACTACACTTGTTTTCTATTTTTTTGACTCAAATCTTATTTTTTTCCTGAAATTTAGAAAACAAAAATGTTAAACAAACAAGTTTTAAAAATTTTTAAAATTTTAAAAATTAGTGTAGCGGTCCTGCTCTTTTATTTTTAGAAAATTCATGGTACACTAACCTTCAAAACCAAATATTTTATAGTTGAAACCATTAAAAAAATGTCAAAAGATATGACTTGTATAAATATTGATTATATAGTCGCCTTCAACCTTTTTTTCGTTAGTTTATAGAGCGTAACCCCATAAAATAAGATTAAAGGTAAAAAGCAATATGCGTTAACCCAAATTTATTTTTCACTATTTCAAATATTTAATTTCTCAATAAGATGAGTATGAGGTCAACTAATTTTGCCACAAAAATAAATGATAATCTCATCACATACTCTATAATTGTGTTACATTTGAAATAAATTAACAAGAAGTTTAGCTTAATATTAATGAATTATATTTTTTTTACATGTATTATATTTTTATTATTTTAAAAATAAATATATGGTACTAAAAAATTAAGTTTTGATATAGTAATGGTGCATAGATATAGGGGGACTCATTAACTTTCTCGGAATTTGCACCCCATTACTTCCGTTAAGACTTAACACCTCAATTGAAAATGTTCAATTGTCTGGTATCTTAGAACAACTTCAAGAGGCTCAATAAACTGAACTTGTTAGCTGTTTTACATGGCCAGGCCACATAAATTAACTCCCACAGACCAGCTATTAGACTCTATATTTTCCATAGCCTTCATTTGGTTGGCTATATCTAGTTAGGCAAAGCTGTTCGGTAGCCTACTTTTTGCGCCAACAATTTGCTTCACCAATTGAAGGCTCCAGCATGTATACGCCTCCTTTTCCCATGTTCCCTCTTCTCCTCTCCTCTCTTCACCCTCCCCTCTCAACAATCTGAACTGTTTTCTGCCTCTCCTCTTTGTTTCTGTGAAGCAAAAGACCTCAGTGAAGCCATAAGCATCCTGAAATCCCTTACTGCCATCTGAAACCTAAATCCCAAATCAATCGATTAAACTCGAAGCCTTCAAACAGAGCATTCTCTTTCTCTCAGACCATAGATCGAACTCGGAGCCTTCAGAGCTGCTTCAGAATCGAAGGCACAAGCCACAACACAAGCCACAAACCTTCAGAGCTACTTCAGGTACAAACTCTCTCTCCCTTTGTGCTATGTATATATATCGGTGTATGAGTGTATGTAAATATACAAGGTCTAATTTACTTGCGTTATGGCAATGATTTACCTAATTATGTTCCCTTTGGTTTCTAAGAAAATGTGAGGATGAAGACGACGAAGACACTGAGAGCAATCACCAATATGTGCCTGTTGGACTGATTCAGACGATGAAGACGAAGGTCAAGAAAAAATCCAAAATCCAACAAACCCCTCCAAAATCCAATAAAATCCCTCTAAAAATTTAGCAAACTTCCTCAAAATCCAGCAAAGCCCCCAAGTATTTTATGATATTTACTCTTGTAATGCATCTTTTATAATATTTATTCTTGTAACTTATAATTGATTAAATTTATACAATATATAGTTGAATTGTTATTTTTTGAATTTTATTATTGATAGTTAGTTAAAGTTAGTTGAAGTGGTTAGTTAAAATAGATAGTGTTGTTGAAGTGAATTTAAAAAAATAATTAATTAAAATAGATAATATAATATTTAAATATATTTTAAATAATTATTTTAAATAGCGTCGTTAAAGTTGCTTTTACGAGGTAAGAAATTGATGATTGGATGCACACACCACATGTGACAGTCCACGTGGCGTGTAGTGCACCTGAAAAATTTTCTCCACACGCGCCGTCACACACACACATTGGACTACTTTTTCACTCTCTTACTCCGCAATTCTTATTGGGGTGGAAAAATTAAAAATATTTATTTTCACACTATTAAACTTTTTATAATCAAACTATTAACTTCATCATTTTTATACCCACCACCCCATTAACAACTAATTCCACCCAATACTATCCACACCCCTTTAATAACAAGTCCATCTTATTTCTTCTCAAAATTAGGGTTTTATTCACTATTTTCTCTTATATATCCTATATACAAAAATTTTTTTAATATGAATTTTTCTAATGAGATACATGTTAGTATTACTTATCGGTTTAATTTTTTGTTTGATTTCATATGTGCTGTGATTTCATATTTGATTACGATAAGCCTAATTATTTTTTATTTAGAATTTGTGTGTGTATATATATCTATACAATAAAACAAAAGAGACTTTGAATTTTATACTCCTTATATTTTCCCTCCCCCAAACTTATCAGTTCTCACACACTCTACCACCAATATCATTACCATTGTTAGACAACACAGGCGGCAACACAGGCGGCAACACAGGCATGGCCACTTTTCCAAATTCATGCCTTCCGTTTTTTCTTTTAACTTTCTCTTTACTTCAAACGTCTCTTTGTCTGTCTCTATTACCACCATCAAAGTCATAGCCACTGAGTTCATTGTAGCCACCACTACAGTCACAATCACCACCACCGAGTTCGCTATAGCCACAACCACTGTCATTGTCGGGTATTCCCCCCATTCCTCTTCTGCGCAAAGACTCAACAACCCAACAGACCCCCACCCTTCTTCCCCTCTGTGCGCAAACACCCTTCCCCTCATTCCTCTTTTGTGCAAAACACCCTCCACCTTTCTTTGCTTGTTGAACCCACCCCACAAAAACCCAGCAGAACACACCCTCTCCTCTTATACCCCCTCTGCACAAACCACCCCATACACACACACACACAAACACAACACACACGCACAAAAAACCCATCTAGCAAAGCAACACTGTCACCGCCATAGCACCACTGTCAAGACCACACAACACTCTCCATCCCCTTCCTTCCCCTCTCTCTATTTCTCACTAAAATGTTTGCAGAGATGCTCAAAACCCAGATCCCAATCATAATGCCCATGACGTGTTTGTTGAAATGCCTAAGGTGGATTTATCTATTCATTTGATTTTTCACTAATTGTTCATTTCTCTAATTTTGAATTTCCTGTCCATGTTTTTCAATTTCATTTTTAATTGTTCATCTATCTAATTTCATTTTTTAATTTCCTAATTTTTAATTGCTTCAACTAAGTCTCTTGGCAGACTTTGAAAAAAATAAAAATTTAATTTTTATTTGAATTAAAAAATAATAATTTATTTGAAAAAATAAATTTAATTAGAGTATTTTTATGTTTTTATTTGAAAAAATAAAATTTTAATTTCAATTTAGTATAATTGTATACTAATTACGATTTTTTTAGAGTATAAATGTAAATTTTTATAATTGTATACTATTAAATTCTAATAATATAGTATAATTGTATACTAATTACGATTTTTTTAAGAAAAAAATAAATTTTTATTTTTAATTTTATTTCAATAAATGATATAATAGAACATAAATATTAGTTATAAAATTTAAAATATTTGATATTTTATATTTGATTAGAGTATTTTTGGTCTAAGAATAATATTTTAAATTTAAAAGATCTAAGTATTATATATTCATAAACTTTAGAGGAGTCTAAGTGTAATTTATTAATGAATATATTTACAATGGTCTAAGTGTTATATGTGTACAAACTTCAGGGGATCTGTCTGTAATATTTAAAATGTCAAGAGATCTGAGTGATTAAGTGACAAACTTCAAGAAATCTGGGTGTAATTCTCCTTTTATTTTTTTTGAGAGAGTAATGTGGTAAAATTAATCATTTAGGGTAAATTAAAATTTTTTATATCTTCCTAGGGGCAAAATAATATTTTTCCAATAAAAAATCACGCCTAACGCTTATAATATTCCACAAGATTTACTTTCCAAATTCACAGATATTCTCCCATTTCTAAATTAGAACCTGACGCCCAACAAACAGACTCTCTCTCTCTCTCACTCTCACACACATTAATAAACGTATAAATACGCGCAGTGGTATACAATGTTTTGTTGCGGAATAGCGGTGGTGGCAAAGGCGAAACCTTCGTTTATCAGAGCGGAACAACCTTTGGTTCCTGACCTCTCCACCGAGCGTGGCGTATACGGCGGTGGAGCCCCCATTCGCCGTCGCGACATCGTTTTTGTCGTCAATCCCCGAGGTTTTAAGAACGCAGTCTCTCTCCCTCTCTCTCTCTAAATGTGTGTGTGTGTCTGTTTGTTTTGAGTCTTTTTATATTGTGGATTGAAATTGGCTCAGGTGCTAATAGACGTACTGGGAAAGAATTGAAGAAACTGGTACGGTGTCTCAGGTATAGCCTCGGGCTGATTGCAATGTGAGTCCTATCTGAATTGTTATTTATTTCAATTCGTCACTATTTGTTCTTTATTTTTTCAAACAGCAGCATGTTCAATATTCTAAGGTTTTCTCTAAATTATAAACATTGAAGTATAAATATAATGATTATACAGAAGGAAATATACTAGACAACAATGATTTTAATTCAACGTGAGAATTTAGTCAAAAGGTTTTATTGCCAGGCTTGCATCTAGCTTTAACCCTGTGTTTCTCATTTGCTTCGTTGAACTGTTTGGCTGATCCAAATAAATACCAAAATTGAACTCTGGCTTGTGCATATCCATAAGTAGGTTTGTGTTCCCCTTTCTGGTACCCATAATGGATTGTTAAAGGTCACCGATTACAGATATCAGAGAGGCTAGTCTTTTTTTTTTTTTTGGTCAGGTCAGAGAGGCTAGTCAAAGAATGACAAAATTCACCTGTTTCGAAGGCATCATATTATTGATTATTTGGAACAGTGCTAGTGCTATGGCATGCTTAATCTCAAGTGGTTTCTCATCCTGCCTTTCTGTTGTGGGGTTCTTGTTACAATTTATTTTCTATCCTTCTGTGGATATGTTTGTTTACTTACAGATTGAACTAACTAGCCAAGAATGTTATACATCACACACACACACACACACACGTGCATCGTCAAGTTCCGATTCTTTGCCAGCCAATGTCCATGGAGGTAACTCTCTCTCACTCTCTCACTCTCACAGACAGACACACGCAACCTACAGTCATGCAAAAGTATATCTTAATCTGTTTAATTTGTGCATGTTTAGCTCAATTTTTGCTGTACCTTCACATGGTGGCAAAAAATTAAAATTTTTAAAATTTGGTATGCACATCTTTTAACCATATAATTCTACTATTTAATGCAGTGAAATGTGGAATTATCCAGGATAAGTTGAAGGATTTCTACTAATCTATTTGGAGCAGTCTCAGCATGCAGAAAGGGAGGATTTAGAATGCCCAGGTTCTTGATTTTTTGTTTTATTTTGTGATGGAACGGTTATTGCAATGTTTTGATCTTTTTCATGAATCATAACTTTTGAATTGATATGATGGTAGTCTTCTTAGGTAATGGTCCCAAAGGTTGAACCAACTTTAACTTGGTACTCTTTTAAGCCGAAAGTGTTATTTTACTTTGTCTACATGGTTGTGCTTTAGTTTTTCTTCTAGTAATCACTTAAGGCATAAAACTACTCAATTTCCAACTACTTGGTTACAATATTTTATGTCTTAAATTTTTGTGCCATAACTCAATGTGGCAATTACTTTAATTTTTGTCTCAATTACTTGCTTACAGTATTTTATTTCTTAAATTTTTTGTGCTATAACTCGGTATGTAATATTGCCTATTGAGTACAGTACCTTAAAGATAGTGGAGAAAAGATCAACCTATTGCAATTTGGGAGGCTCATAAAATAGCAATCCAAGTGGTTGCTTCTGAGAGGTTTAGATTTTTCTTTGAATATTGTATGGTATTGATTTTGTGGTTTGATTTTGTTAGCATTTTCTTTTCTTCTCTTTTCTTGAAGTTCTTAATTATCATCCCTAGTTTCCATCCTTTACTTAAGATTTTTTACAGTCATTGAACTATAAAGACATTGATATTGAAACTTGAAGATCCTACACCATGATGCTTTGGATACGAATGAACAATATCGATTTTTTTTTTTTATGGTAATTTAGGATCAAGTGACACCACTCTACACATACATTTGAAGAGCATATAGGTCGGCTTCTTGCATGTCTACATGACTATTCCTTTTGAATATCTTTGAGTAGATGTTCTAGTTTTTATTTTTAAATATTAATAATGTGTTTTTTTAATAATTATGGTAGTTGTTTGAAAGTTTTCATTGGTGGTAAAAAACTTGATTTAATTATCGAATTCTAGATGATGTTTAAATTGACAAGTTATGTGAAAAGGACACACTAGTTTTCAGACCCTAATTGACTTGGGTGCAGAAATGGACGTGTCTTGGTGGTATCTTGCACCACGACACCCCATGAATTCAAAACAAGGCGATGTAGCTAAGGTTTTCGAAAAAAGGCCAGGCACTATGGCTCAGGCTCTCATTGTTATGTTTTCTCGGTTCAGAACTCAAGTCGCTTTGGAAAAGCTCCATAAGGCATATATAGGGGGTGGAGATAGTTGAGGGGCACCAAGGGTCCGGCTAGCCTTGTGTCCTTAAGCCTTGGCATCGTTGGGCAAAACATAAGTGTCTTTGTGTTTCTTTGGTATATTATTGTACGGGTGTGTTTCTTTGGTGTATTAGTTGATGGGTGTGTTTCTTTGGTGTATTAGTTGACGGGTGTGTTTCTTTGGTGTATTAGTGCACGGGCGTGTTTCTTTGGTGTTTTAGTTTGTGTGAATAGATTGAATGTTTTGGAGTTTTTTTTTTTTGGTGTATTAGTGTGAATGTATTAGTTTGTGTTTCTTTAATAGTGTGTTTTATTGTGTTTATTTGTTTAGTGTATGAGTATGTGTGTTTTTTTGGTATATTAGTGTGTGTTACCACGGTGTGTGGGTGTGCAATTATATGCTGATTAGTGGGGGTGTGTGCGTTTTGGTTTATTAATGTGTGTTTTGTAGTGTATTTGTGTTTGTGTAATAGCGTGTGTATTATTGTATATTAGTGTTTGTATTTTTGGTGGATTAGCTTTTTTTAACACTACATGTGATGGAATGTATGCATTTTTGTGAGTGTGTGTATGTGTTTAGGTGTATCAATGTGTGTATTTTTTTGTATGTTTTGAATGGTGTATTAGTAGGCGTTTGTGATCTGGGATGTTGTATTAATGTGCGTGTTTATGTTGTGTTTGTGTTATAGTATGTGTGTTTTGGTATATTGGTGTCTATGTTTTTTGATGCATTATGTGTGTTTTTTGGTGTATTAGTGTTTGTTAACACAATGTGTGTGGTGTGTATGTAATAGTGTGTGTATATGTGCTTGTTTGACTGATGGTGTACGCACACGTGTGTGTTTGTGTAATAGTGTGTGTATGTGTATGCTTGCTTTTGGTGTGTTAGTGTGCATATTTTTTGGTGTATTAGTGTGTATTTTTTGGTGCATTAGTGTGCATATTTTTGGATGTATTAATTTGCATATTTTTTGGTGTATTATTGTGTAAGCTTTTTCCTTACTTCTCTTCTCTTTTTTGTCTTGAACCTTGAAGTTCTTAATTATCTTCTTTATGATCTCTCAATGATGCGATAGAAATATAATTTGGTCTTTTCTGTAATTGGTCTATCGGTCATCATTTAAGGTACATGACTCATTTATTGCCAATTACTTTCATATAGTTTTTTGTTCCATAAAATTTTTATACCATTTAACTGTTTGTGTCACGAGGTTAGATATTTCCTATTGATTGCATTACATTAAGATGGTGGAGGAGAGACCAACATGTTGAACTTTCGGAGGTTTACAAGGTTGTAATTTAAGCAATTATGAAGTAACCATCAGGCGACCTTTTTATAAATGAACATTATTTTGATTGATTTGAGGTATGATTGTGTAAGCATTTTCCTTACTTTTCTTGTCTTTTTTGTCTTAAACCTTGAAGTTCGTAAGTATCTTCCCAATGATTTCTCAACCATCAACTTAAGTGCTTAGCTTAAGATTTCTTATAATTATCAAACTATACTTTGGATAGGAATGATTGATGTGGATTGTTGTCAATGATAATGTAAGTTCCAGTGGCACAACTTTAGGGCTTTAGAAAGGGAGGACATGTGTGCATACTTTTGTCGGGTATACAGGTTTGTTTTCTTGCATGCCTACGTGACTATCTATTTTCCATATATTTTGGTGCATGCGATAGTTTTTGTTTAAATAGTTTAAGATTTATATTGTTCCTTAGTAATTGTTTGTAAGGGAGCCAATAAAATATAGTTTGGTCTTTCACTGAAATTGGTCTATTGGTCATCATATAAGGTACGTGACTTCTCTGTTTTCAATTACTTCCTTACAATTTTTTGTTCCTCAAAATTTCATGACATTTAAGTGCTGTGTCACGAGGTTAGATATTCTCTATTGATTGCAGTACTTTAAGACGGTGGAAGAGAAACCAACATTTCAAACTTTGGGAGGCTTACAAGGGAGTAATCTAAGCAGTTATGAAGTTGCCTTCATGTGAGTTTTTTACAAATGAATATTATTTTGCGGTCTGATTGTGTAAGTTTTTTCCTTACTTCTCTCTTTTTTTTTTTTGAAACTTGAATTTCTTAAGTATCTTCCCTATGATCTCTCAATGATGCGATAGAAATAGGGTTTGGTCTTTCTTGTAATTGGTCTATTGATCATCATTTGAGGTATGTGACTCTTTTATTGCCAATTACTTCCATATAGTTTTTTTTTCCTTAAAATTTTCATGTCATTTAACTGTTTGTGTCAAGAGGTTAGATATTTCCTATTGATTGCAGTAAATTAAGATGGTGGTTGAGAGACTAACATGTCGAACTTTTGGAGAATTACAAGGCTGTAATCTAAACAATTATGGAGTTACTTTCAGACGAGCTTTTTATAAGTGAACATTAATTTGATTAATTTGAGGTATGATTGTGTAAACTTTTTCTTTACTTCTCTTCTATTTTTTGTCTTAAACTTTGTAGTTCTTAAGTATCTTCCCAATGATTTCTCAATGATCAACTTTAGTTCTTTGCTTAAGATTTCTTATAATTATCAAACTATACGGTGGATAGGAATGATTGATGTGGATTGTTGTCAATGATAATGCAAGTTCCAGTGACACAACTTTATGGCTTTGGAAAAGGAGGACATGGGTGCATACTTTGGTAGGGCATACAGGTTCGTTTTCTTGCATGCCTACGTGATTATTTCTTTTGCATATATTTTAATGCATACGATAGTTTCTGTTTAAAAGGTTTAAGATTTATATTGTTCTTTAGTAATTGTTGGCAAGGGGGCCAATAGAAATATAGTTTGGTCTTTCACGAAAATTGGTCTATTGGTAATCATTTAAGGTATGTGATTCCTCTGTTGTCAATTACTTCCTTATAGTTTTTTGTTCCTTAAAATTTTATGTCATTTAACTGCTGTGTCACGAGGTTCGATATTCCTTATTGATTGCAGTACTTTAAAACGGTAGATGAGAGACCTACATATCAACTTTGGGAGGCTTACAAGACATTAATCTAAACAGTTATGAAGTTACCTTTGTGCAAGCATTTTACAAATAAACATTATTTTATTTGATTTGAGATATGATTGTGTCTTACTTCTCTTCTCTTTTTTGCCTTAAACCTTGAAGTTCTTAAGTATCTTCTCTATAATCTCTCAACAATCAACTTAAGTTCTTTGCTTATGATTTCTTACTGTTATCAAACTAAATTTGGATAGGAATGACTGATGTGGATTGTTGTCAATGATAATGCAAGTTCCAGTAATATAACTTTAGAGTTTTGGAAAGGGAGGACATGTGTTTATTCCTTTGTAGGGCATGTTTTGTTTTCTTGCATGCCTACATGACTATTTCTTTTGTATAGATTTTAGTGCATGCAATAGTTTGTATTTAAAATGCTTAAGATTTATATTGTTCCTTAGTAATTGTTTTTTTTTGGGGGATAGATATATGGTTTGGTTTTTCACGGAAATTAGTCTATCAGTCATAATTTAAGGTATGAGACTCCTCTGTTGTCAATTACTTCCTTAAATTTTTTTTCCTTAAAATTTCCATACCATTTAAGTGCTTTGTCACGAGGTTAGATATTCCCTATTTATTGCGGTACTTTAAGTCAGTGGAGGCGAGACCAACATGTCGAACTTTGGGATGCTTACAAGGTATTAATCTAAACAGTTGTGAAGTTACGTCAGCTGAGTTTTTTATAAATAAACATTATTTTGAGGTATGATTGTGTAAATTTTTTCCTTCTCTTCTCTTTTTTGTAATGAAATTTGAGGTTCTTAAGTATATTCCCTATGATCTCTCAACGATTAACTTAAGTGCTTTGTTTAAGATTTTTAATAGTTATCAAAACTAAATTTGGATATGAATGACTGATGTAGATTGTTGTCAATAATAGTGCATATTTCAGTGACACAACTTTAGAGCTTTGGAAAGGGAAGACATGTGTGCATAGCTTCGTAGGGCATATGGGTTGGTTTATTGGTCATCATTTAAGGTATGTGACGCCTCTGTTGTCAA